TAAACAGAAGTGTGTGTCTTGGGTTCAATTATATAACAAGGAGTTTTCTCACGGTATGTTGTAAGTACTAGGACAGAGTAGAGAAGAGGGTGAAAGCTTGTTTGAAGGCATACTGTCTTTCTGATGCATTTTTCTTCCTGTAGGTAATAAAAAATAGCCAACACTGTTACAGCTTTGTCCATCAACTTCCACCACGTTCTGTGAAGACAGTGCAAGTGTGGAGAGATGTCTCCCTGACCTCAATGTCTGTCTGCAATTAAGGGAGATCACCACACTCTCCATTGTTGAGGAATCCCTTTTCTATGTGACCATAGGATCTCCAGAGCCTGCTAACAGCATGTCCTCTCCTCACGCTTTCCCCTACCCTTGGTTGCTAAAACATCACCAAACTACCCAGGATTTCTTTGGTTCTTGCTTTAAGGGGGAAAGAGAAAGTGGTCATCCCCAAGAGGACCTGAGGAATTCTATGGGAGGCATCCAGAAATCAAAGAGGAGAAATCTTCTTGTGACTCCAGGAGTGAGTGACAATGTGCCTAGAATGTCTTAGGAGTCATTAGGTACAGCATCCTTCTATGGCACGTCGTTGACGTCAGTGACTCTGAAACAAAATCCTTACCCAATCTCAGATGACTCACTGCATTGAAATGTTAGGTAGCTGTTTACAGCCACACAGGTGTACCTCGTGGCTTTAGGGAGAAATTTTGTAACTTGAGGACAATCTGGGGGAATTTCCTAATTCTTTCCATTGTTCTCAGGATATTTGTTGTATATAAACATGGTGCTTGGCTCTATACAGACTTCCATGCAGGAACTTTAGAAAAAGACACATGTCTGGTGTGAAAATTTTAATTCAAGCAATCATTAGGTAATCATAGGAGTCCAAAGATTTCTCTTAAAGAACTCTAATTGTTGATATTTAAAAACAACTGCGAGATTTTTCTGATGTTTGTGGCAGAATCCTGGAATTTCTATTTGGAAACAAATAGTCATGGGTTTAGACCAGAAAATATGTAGTTTATTGTTTGGATGGACACAATTCATACACATGGACACAGTGAGCAGACCTTGCTTTGCTGCTGTTTCACTAGGCATTGCAGCGCAGCAAACCTCCCAACACATATTGACTTAGAACAATCATTTATTCTGATCTTTCTCAGTTAACTGGACTCATGTGGGTGGTAGATTATGTGGTGAGAGTCTCGTTTTCTGAAGAATCTTTTAGGCTGGAATTCCAGAGGATGCTTCACTCATATCTGACTCAACACTGGGGCTGGGTGAACACCTGGGGGCTGACTGGTTATTTCCTTTCCTACCTCACCTCCCAATCCATGCCTTGAATTCCCTCAAATCATGAGAGTCTCGTGGTTCTTGGACTGAATGAATGATGATTGGCTTCCACTAAAGAAAGCCTTCCAAAAGCTCAGGAAGAAGGTACAAGGCATCATAGGACCTAGCTTACAAAGGCAGACAGTGTCAGTACTGTGACATTGTATTGAACACAGTGAGCTATACAGACAGCCCACATCAAAGGTAAGTGATTCCACAAGCTGTGGTTATTTTGACATATGGTCATGAGGGAGCATCCTTGGCAACTATTATCACCCAGTCCTCAATGGCTTACATGTTTCCCACATTCCAAAACCACTAATCCTGTAAGGAACCACTGAACACAACAGAACTACAGAAACAGGCTCAGATTGAAGTTCAGCATCTTATCATCTGATTAGGATCTGCTGTCCATGAGGTGACTACAAATTATCAGGTGCACTTTCTCAGAATACATTATCTGCCCTATAGAAATCAAAATATTAGACTGAAACAGATATAGGAAAATGCAGTGAACACGCTTATTTTAGAAAAGGAAAAGATAATAAACAGCACTCTGAAAGCAAGATGGGTCACCAACAGCTTTACTGGAACCACCCACGAAAATTCAGCCAGGGTTCTCACTCTTGTTACATCTGCTCAAACAAGCATGGCCTTCTGTTGATATACTGTCTTGATATCTGCTGCTTGTGTTTTTATAAGTACTTGAAGGATATAGGTTTCATTAAGTTGGACTAAGTGATCTTCTTTAAATTGATAAGCAAAACATGCACCCAATGAATGAAACTGTGCTAGCTCATTGAACATAAATAAAAATTAAAACAAAGAGACAAATAAAAACAAACAAGAACAAAAAAGAAAATAGGCAGCAGTCACTGGTCCACATTATTGGACCCTATTTTCATCTTCTCTGAAAATGTTTCTCTGCAACAATTGGCTCCACCATCTATTGTCAGCTTCTTGAAGCTCCTAACAAGATTGCATAGTGACAGCCCTTTTCTTTCTACAAGAGCTGTGATCATTTAGATCATAGCACAGATAGAGGACCACTTAGGAGAAGATAAACAGTATATTACCTAAAAGCCAAACAATGCAGATTGAAGAGGGTCTCATCAAATAGCCTCTTTTTCTGCAGGGCCCATCTCAGGCATCATTTTGGTCATCCTCATCCTTTCTTCCCATGTTCATTGTCACAGCTTGTTCAACAGCAACCTTACTCATGGGTGTGCCTCTCTTTTTGCCCTCCTTTAACTTAACATCCAGTTACCTTGAGGTGTCAATGAACAGTAAATAACACATTCATGGCTCACTTCTTTGTTTCTTTAAAGTGTAAACTGAAATTTCCTCCCCTCTCACTGGAAAATCTCAGCTTCTTATTAGGTACACTGACCTCCATATATCATCCCTCTCACAGTTTTGGTCACTTCTCTGTTTTGTTGATGGATCATAGGCCCTCTCATCTGCATGGAATTCAGTTTTTGGGGGAATTAGGCAATTCTTGCTCAAAGTGGGTAAAGACTATCTTGGAACCCATGTCTTTCTTAGAATAACATGAGTTTGATTTCATATCTACATATCCCTGGATGATGCCCATTGTATTTGAATAACCTACAGGGTCCTACATGCTGCCTCTGCTAGACAAACACACAGTGACTGACTTTTCTTAACTGATATTCACCAGCTCAGTTCAGTTCACATAGTCCATTTGTTATACTCATCTTTATACTACCTACTATCCTGTGCTTATGGTGGCCAGGAGTGACGTCTCAGATAAAAAGAGAAGATATAGAGACCAGGAAGCGATGTCCAACAAACGAACTTTAATTTGCCTCTGGGGACCCGCTCAACATCTTTTTCATGCTCCTCAACCTAAATTCACTAAATATAGCATTCCCACTAAATATAGTATTACTCAAAACATAGAAGGTTATTCTGGACTCTAAAGCCTTGCCTTCTGAATGGTCTGTGGGGCTTTTTCAGTTTTTGCTGAAAGTCCCCAAAGAATAAATCTACTCTTTGAAAATGTCCTTGATGCCAAAGTCCATCAAAACTGTGTCCTCTGTGGTGCTGTCCGTGGTGCTGAACACTGGTGCTTCTAGGCCTGTATTTGCAAGTGAGCGGCCAATAAAACAGAATTAGGAGATAGTTTTTTTGTTTTGTTTTGTAGTTGACAAATTGCAGCTCGAAATATGCATGATATATGGAGCAATAATTGAATCTGGATTTTCAAACCACAATTTCTGCAATGCTCTCTATCACCACTTTTATTCAGCATAGTATTTGAAGTACCAGCCGGAGCGTTCAGCAAGAGAAAGCAACAAATGGCATCCAAATACAGAACGAAGTTAAACAATCCATGTTTACAGACATGATTCTATATCTAGAAAACCTCACAGTTCCCACCCAAACTATCATTAAGCTGGTAAACAACTTTCGCAAAGCTTCAGGATACAAAATCAATATGCAAAAATCACTAGAAGTCCTATATGCCAATGACAGCGAACCATAGGGCCGAATCAGGAATGCAATTCCATTCACAATTGCCATGAAAAGAATACAATACCTAGGAATACAGCTAACCAGGAGGTGTAAGATGGTACAAGGAGAATTACAAAACACTGCTTAAAGAAGTAGAGATGACCCAAACAAATGGAAAAACATTCCATGCTCATGGATGGCAAGAATAATGATCATTAAAACAGCCACAATGCCCAAAGAAATGTACAGATTCAACGGTATTCCTATTGCACTATCAATAACATTCTTCACAGAATTAGAAAAATCTATTTTAAAATCCATATGGAACCAAGAGTAAGCTGAATAACCCAGACAATTCAAAGTAAAAAGAACAAAGCTGGAAGCATCACATTACCCAACTTCAAGCTGTACTATAGCTTGAAGTAACCTAACAGCATAGTACTTGCACAAAACAGACACATTGACCAATGGAACAGAACAGAGAGACAAGAAGTAAGGTCCCACACCTACAGCCATATGGTTTTCGACAACGTTGATCAAACAAGCAATGGAAAAAAGATTCCTATTCAGGAAATAATTTTCGGATAATTAGCTAGTCATGTGCAGATGATCGAACCTGAACCACTTTCTTGATTATATAGAAAAATTAACTCAAGATGAGTTAAAGACTTAAATGTGAAACCCAAAACTATAAAAATCCTGGAAGACTACCTAAGGCAATACCATTCCGAATGTAGGAATAGGCAAAAGATTCATGACAAAGATGCGAAAGGCAATCACAAGAAAAGGAAAAACGGACAAATTGATCAATTTAAACTAAAAAGATTCTGCACAGCAACAGAACCTATCAACAGAACCAACAGACAACCTACAGAAAAGGAGAAAATATTTGCAAATTATGTATCTGAAAATTGTCTAATATCTAACATCTATAAGGAACTTTAACAACTTTACAAGAAAAGAACAAACAACCCCATAAAAAATGGGCAAAGGGCTGGGAGCAGTGGCTCTTGCTTGTAATTCCAGCACTTTGGGAGGCTGAGGACTGCTTGAGTCCAGAAGTTCAAGACCAGCTTCGGCAACATGGCAAAACCCTATCTCTATGAAAAATAGAAAAATTAGCCAAGTCTTGTCTCGAGCACCTGTAATCTCAGCTACTTAGAAAGCTGAGCTGGGAGGATTGCCTGAGCCCAGGCAGAGGTTGCAGTTAGTCGAGATTTCACCACTGCACTTCTGCCTGGGTGTCATAGTGAAATCCTGTCTCAAAAAAAGTAGACCAAGAACATTAATAGACAGTTTTCAAAACAAGACATACAGGTGGCCAACAAGCAAATGAAAAGAAGCTCAACATCCCTGAATGTTAGAAAAATGCAATCCCATTACTGGGATAGGTGTATACACTATTGTATACACAGAAGAATATAATTGATTCTGCCTTAAAGACATATGAACATGAATGTTCTTTTCAACACTATGCACAATAGCAAAGACACAGAATGAGCCCAAATGCCCATCAAGGACAGATTACATACAGATAATGTGATACATATGCACAATGGAATACTATGAAGCCCTAAAAAAGAATGAGGTCATGTCTTTTGCAGGAACATGGATGGAGCTGGAGGCCATGAATCTTAGTAAACTAATGCAGGAACAGAAAGCCAAATACTCCATGTTCTCACTTACAATTGTGAACTAAATGATGAGACTCAGGGACACCAATAGGGGAACAACACACACAGAAGCCTACTTTACGGTGGAGGGTGAAAGGTGGGATAGGAGCAGAAAAAACAACTATTGGGTACTATGCTTAGTACCCAGGTGAAGAAATCTTATGTACCACAAACCTCATGACACGACTTTATCTGCATATGTACCCCTATAATAAAAGTAAAAAAAAAAAAGAAAAAAACCCAATCTCACCTTTCTCCCAGAATCTACAGGAGAAACAGTATCTCTGAAACTTTGTTTTACATGGACTCCAAGACAAAGCAGAGAATGTAGTTAGAGTCCAGGTATGTGACAGACAGATGAGAGTGACCCTCACATGGCAGAGCCAAGGGGCCTACTGTGAGGCAGGTTCATGCATTAACTTTCTCTACTTCTCTCCTGAGGATCAAGGTCAGGAGGATCAGACCTTCAAAGGCTCTCCCAGAACCTTTAAATGCAAAGAGAATTGCCTTCTAGGTCTAACGTCTTTTTCTAAAATTCCCAATTTACTTTTAGTCATTGTACAAATTGAGAGAATGTACACCTTCTGGCTAGATTCTGCACAGCAGAGAAAATGCTTGAGAGGCACAAAGAGAAGCTTTACAATCACTACCCCTCACTCCATCATCCTATCCCTGGTAACCCAATCCACAGCCTGGTACCTCCACTACTGTCATTTCCACTGCCTTACAGCAAACAGCTATGGTTGTGACAGAGTTTCTTCCTGACATCTGAGTCTTTCTCCTGCTACACGGAAAGCTTGCTGGGAGGGGCTTGGAATCTGGCATGAAGCCAGAGGGCATCTCTGAGTTGCAGCATTTAAATGATCCCACTCAGAGATTCACACAGAAGACTGGACACAATTCCGAAGAGTCACCCAGAAGGAGAGAACAATGTCATCACTACCCGTGAGTTGAAAAGGCACAGACTTTAACCATCTCAAGTCACATAAACCAAGAAAGAAACAGGGGAGATTTTCTGAGATGAAAATATGAGCACTCCTACTACGAATGCTTTCCTGAGAGGTGTGGTTGTGTGGAAGAGAAACCCTGAGGCTGTGGTATCTGAGATGACTGTGGGGTGTGAGGTGGGGATCCTGGACCAGTGTAACCCTCTGTGAGTGTGTGGTGGTATCTGATGAGAGTGAACTCTGCTGAGATTAAGTGACTTTAGGTGGGAGGCAGATGTCCCACCAGGATGGGCGGGTGTGTGAGTGAGTGTAAGTGGTTGAGTGTGCTTTGTCTTCCTGTCTGTGATGTGAGTGTATGTTTGCTCACAGCCAGACCAGTGCATGGTCATCTTTATGTGCACAGTGAGCAGGTATGTGAAGCAGCTGTGTGTCTTTTCATGTGTGGCAATGTGGATCCCAGATGGCTTAACTGGTAGGGATCTTGGGGATTGTGAGTTACCAAGGACTAGTTTCAGGTCACTTATGAGAGCGAAATGTAGCATCAGTAGATGTCTTCCCAGTAAGAGTGGGGAAGAGCAATGCAGACTATGGGGGTGATGGTTCCTCAGGTGGGGACTGCACAGAGTGACCACTGGCTTTGGCTTCCCAAGCTCAGCTTCCTTGCCCCAGCTCAGCCTGTTCTTCCCATTGTGGAACAGGAGAGTGTTCAGACACTGATTTGCCAGGGAAGAATATTAGAGGCCATGGTTTCAGTGACTGAACCATGCGAAATATTCACGGTAAGCTCTGTCTGAACTGAAACTAAACTTGTTCCTCCACTCATGAAAGAAAAAGCTCTGTTTGAATTCAGACAGAGTTTACTGTGAATGTTACTCAACAAAGCAGCTGGGTTCACTGGCTCATGGCCATCACCCCACCAATTTGGGAGGCAAAGATGGGAGGGTAACTTGAGGCCAGAAGTTTGAGACCAGTCTGGGCATCATAGTGAGACCCTTTCTTTGAAAACCTTTAAATATCAGACTGGCAGAGTGGCAGGCACCTTTCGCCCCAGCTACACAAGAGGGGGCAGATGTGTGAGGATCACTGCAGCCCAGGAGTTCGACGTTTCAGTGAGCTGTGATTGCACCACTGCATGTCAGCCTGGGTGACAAAGCAAGACCCTGTCTCAAAAATATGGAAAAATCATCAACCACTTGTAGTAGTCGTAGAAATCAATCGTTCCCTCTAGTTATGTCCCTGACCCACAGGCTTCATATGTGCAAGTACTGAGGCTGCGCTGTCAGCAATGTGTCCCCTTCTGGGAAGGACGTCCATTGCCCTTGATGATTGTGATGCATGTGCCTCCCACACACAGGGGTTTCCTGTTCTTTCATCATTTCTCTCTTTTTCAACAAGTGTTGTTTCTCACTGGACTGAATTTCTAAATTCTGTCACCCTCAAGTCTTGTTTTCATTTTCAGAGTTGAAAATAAGGCAGGTCAATGTCTCAGGAGGACTCCCCTGTTCTGTTAGGTCACCCCTAACAGACCCTACACATGCCAGGGATTAGAGTAGAAGTTTTACGTATATTAACTCCTCTGTTACTGAGAACACCCTACAAAGTAGGAATTTCTGACAATCCTCCTTGTTCTGGGGAAACCGAGGCAGGGAGGGTTAAGTAATAGATCTAAGATTGCACTGCTAGTAAGCGGCAGAATGAGGACTGGAATCCGGGATGCCTGGCTCTCGAACAATTGCTCCTACCTATGGGTCCACCATATCTTCAGGAATATGGGGCCCTGACTGTGGTAGGGTGAAAGGGGAGAGGCCTCAGAGTCTGCCCTGTGATCTCTAACCTCCTGCACCATGGGAATCTGTTACAATAGGGGAGGCTGACCCTTTACCTCTCAATCACTCTCAATACCCTGGCAGGTACCATACACACTGCCTGTTTCCTTGTCTGTTGGTTCCTGCGTGATAATCACAGGGACACCGATCCTCACTTTTGTGTGAGTACTCCATGGTCCGATGGAGGGGGTGGAGGAGAGAAGGGTGAATATTTGCTAAGGGTGTGACCTTATGTGTGAGTGATGTGGAAATGTCTAGTTGGCATAATGAAGACCTCACGCAAGTGCACGCCCTGGAGACCCTCCAGCACCAGGCATGAGACCTGCAGCAACTGCATGTGGGCCAGCCATGGGGACCAGGGGAGGAGGACACTCAGTGAGTTGGGGCTGTGGCTCTTTATTAAAGGGCATAGAATTTCCAGGAAATGAACAGATCATAGGCCCAGGTCCCTGACTGGTGCTCAGTTTTTGTCTGGGGATGAGGAGCACAGCATCTCTCTGCCTGGGAGCACGAGGAGCTGAAGCATCCCCACAGGGACCAGGACTGCAGGGATTTGTGTGTGTGTTGAGTGTGTGTCTGCACTATGAAGGAACCTGCCCAACGTGCTGTGTGCTTTGACCTCAGCAAGGACCCACAGCTGGAGGTGAATTTCTACACTGGGACGGATGAGGACTCAGATATTGCTTTCCAATTCCGACTGCACTTTGGTCATCCTGCAATCATGAACAGTCGTGTGTTTGGCATATGGAGGTACGAGGAGAAATGCTACTATTTGCCCTTTGAAGATGGCAAACCATTTGAGCTGTGCATCTATGTGCGTCACAAAGAATACAAGGTGAGTACCTCAGGAGCTTCCAGCACTGGAGCTCTGTGGGCTCCTAGAGGAGGCAGCTTTCATTGACCTGGTGCCACCAGTCCCTCGGGGCCCATCTTCCATAACTACTCCTGTTTCAGATTTTCATCACAGAGCACCCTCTGCTTGCACTGCCATCCTCTGCTCTTTCCAAAATCTGACCAACATCAAGGTCGGCTCACCTGCCATTTCCCCCAAAGTGGAGAATCTGTCTTTTCCCATAGTGCTCATTTCTACTTCTGCCATTCTTTAAATTTTCATTTAGCTGAATGTATACAGTATACTTAAGAAAAAGGTGATTTTAATCATTCAAAAATTGTGTCTTTGTCTAACTTTTGGGTCCCAATTCTACTCATAAGAACAGCATTACTAGAGTTCCGCTCTTCTTCAGAAAGAATTTTTTTATTTTTTTTATTTTTTTGAGACAGTCTCACTTTGTCATCCAGGTTGGAGTGCAGTGGTGTGATCACAGCTCATTGCAAACTCCACCACCCAGATTCAAGCGATTCTCTTGCTTTAGCCTCCCAATAGCTGGAATTACAGGTGCATGCCATCACACCTGGCTAACTTTTGTATTTTTAGTAGAAGCGGAGTTTCACCATGTTGGCCAGGCTTGTCTTGAACTCCCGACCTTGCGTGAGTTGCTCACCCTGGCCTCCCAAAATACTGGGATTACTGGCATAAGCCACTGTGCTCAGCCTTTCAGAGGAAACCTTTGCCTATGGACGGATATAGATATGTCTATGATTTCATTTGTTTTTAAGCAAATCCCGGTATAAGTTGCTCTACACATTACACTTCAGGAATTAAGTTGATTTGTTGACAAAGAATATATCTTCAAGGCACTATCAGTCCATGGTGCCACTTCAGTTTTTAATGATTGCATAATATTCCATTAAAAAGTTTACCCAAAATTATTGAACTTGACCCTTTTTTGGGCATTAAAGTTTTTTCCAGTATTTTGCTCTCATATATGATGCTGTATTAAGTTTTATAGTCAATCCTCTTGTCATTACTAATTTCCCAATACTTATACTGGAAGATAATTAGAAAAAAATGAAAAAACCAGCTCAAAAATGTGTAAATTTTAAATTTGAAAAATTTGCATTAAGAAGGTGACTTTCTCTATAGCCTCAATATAAGGAATATATCCATACTTTTTGGTTTTCTCTAATGAATAGGCCAAAAGATTCACATCTTATTCAGAGTCAAGTGAGGGCTCTTTTTCTATGCTTTAAAGTTGTTGAAGATAATATCCTATGTTTTACAAGACCTGTCCTCCCTTAACTCTCTAAGAATCCTGGGTTTCGTTCTTTGCCACTACCATCTCAGATGTAGGCTACTCCAAAGAGGAAGTGCCATCAGTAGTAAAAGGCAGTCACAGTTCATGGAACTGAAAAGTATGCACTCAATGAACATGGTCTAGCAGTAGCCCTGTGGCAGGTCCTGTGTGAGATGCAGGGTCTCAAGTTCCTGAGACACAGTCCCTGGTGATGGGGATCTTCCAGGTTGGAAGGGAGGCTGAGTAAACAGGGTCTGTGTGACATGGTGTATAACTTCACTAGGGGAATGAGAGAAAACATTAGAAATAAAATGAGCACCTGTCTCAAATAGGCACAAAATGTAGCCTGTAAACAAAAATGTGTCTACTAGGTTCACTTTTGTGTAACTAGGAGTTTTCGTGGGGAAGGTTATTTGTACTAGGTCAGAGAGGAGAAAGGGCTGAAAACCTGTTTGGTGCCTACTGTCTTTCTGATGCATTTTTCCTCTTGTAGGTAATGGTAAATGGCCAACGCATTTACAACTTTGCCCATCGATTCCCGCCAGCATCTGTGAAGATGCTGCAAGTGTTGAGAGATATCTCCCTGACCAGAGTGCTTATCAGCGATTGAGGGAGATGATCAGACTCCTTATTGTTAAGGAATCCCACTTTCTACCTGACCATGGGATTCCCAGAGCCTGCTAACAGAATAATCCCTCCTCACCCTTTCCCCTACACTGGATCATTAAAACAGCACCAAACCCCACATCGTTGGTTCTTGCTTTAAGAGGGGAAAAGAGGAAGTGGTCATCCCCAAGAGGGGCCAGGGCATTCTATGGGAGGCATCAGGAAATCAAAGGGGATAAACCTTCCTGTGACAAAGGGAGTGAATGACAAGGTCCCTGGAATGTCTGAGAAGACATTAGAAACAACATCCTTCTATAGTATGTAGTTGACGTCAGACAGTCTGAACCAAAATCCTTACCCAATGTCAGATGACTCACCACACTGAAATGTTAGGTAGCTGCTTACAGCCACATAGGTGTACCTAGTGGCTTTGGGCAGAAGCTGTAACTTGAGGAAAATCATATGGAATTCCTTAATTTTTTTCATTGTTCTCAGGATGCTTATTGTGTAGGCACATTGTGAAGTTTTCAATCTAAGTAGTAGGGAAATACTGGAGCCCAGTGTTTTCCTTAAAGAATCCCAATTATTCTTATTTCCAAATATTCAAAGATTTTTCCATTTTTTGTGTGCAGAATCCAGGGGTTTCTCTTTGGAAATAAATGGTCATGGTTGTAGATCAGAGAACATGTAGATTGTTATTGGAATAGACACAGTTCATGCACATGGACACAGTGAACAGACCCTGCTTTACTGCTGTTCCAGTGACAAATTGTAGCATAACAAACCTCCCAACACATATTGACTAAAATCAATCATTTATTTTGATCTCTCCCAGCTTTACAGGTTTATTGAACTCATGTGAGTGGTAGGTCATGTGATGGGAGTCATGTTTTTAGAGAAATCTTTTAGCCTGGGATTTCAGAGGATGCTTCACTCATGTCCAGGTCAACACTAGGGCTGAGTGAACACCTAGAAACTGGCTGGTTATCTCTTTCACTACCACACCTTTCCATTCATGCCTTGAATATGTTCAAATCAGGAGAGTCTCATGGTTCTTGGACTTAATGAATGGTGATTGGCTTTCAGCAAAGAAAGCCTTTCAAAAGGCTCATGGAGACAGTACATGGCATTATAAGACCTACCTTTGAATGGCAGACAGTGTCACTTCTATAACTTTACATTGACCATGGTGAGTCACATAGACAGCCCTAATCAAAAGGAGAGGACTCCACAAGCTGTGGTTATTGTGACTGTAGTCATGAGGGGCCATCCTTGGCAACTAGTTCCATTCAGTTATTACTGGCTTATATACTTCCCACATACCAACAACACTAACCCTGTAAGGGATCTCTGAAGGCAATACTACAACAGGAACAGGCTCAGAGTGAAGTGCAGTATCTTATCTAATCAGGATATGGTGTCTATCAGGTGACTAAAAATTATCACTTGCAATCTCTCTCAACATGTGCACCAAAGGGACATACCATCTGCTTTATACAAATGAAACCAAAAAGACAAAAAGAGACAGGAAAAAGGCAATGAACACACCTACTTTAGAGGGGCAAAATAAAATAGACAGCACTCACTAATCCATATCACTGGTGAAACCAACCAGACAGCTATTTTCATTTTCTCTAGGAATATTTCTCTGTAGCACTTGTCCTCGCCCTCCATTCTCAGCTGCTTGGAGTTCCTACCAAGATGGCAGAATGACAGACCTTTCCCCAATAGAAGAGCTGTGATTATCTGCTTCGTAGCATGTATGGAGAACAACTTAGGAGAAGAGAAACAACATATTACTTAAAAATCAATGAAGGCAGATTGAAGAGAGTCCCACTAAATAGCCTCTTTGTTTGCAAGGGCCATCTCAGGTGTCATTTTAATCATTCTCATCGTCTCTCCCCATGTTCATTGCAACAGTTTCTGCAACTCCAACCTCACTCGTGGGTATGCCTCTCTCCTTACCTTTCCTTTAACCTAACATCCAGATACCTTGAGATGCTAACGCACAGTGAATGACACTCTTCATGCCTCTCTTCCTGTTTCTTTCCAGTATGGAATGAAATTCCCTCCCCTCTCAGTGGAAACTCTTGGGTTCTGATTAGGTACACTCTCCTCCTTACACCTTCCATTTCACAGTCTTGATCACTTCTCTATTTTGATAATGGATTATAGGCCCCATCACCACCACAGAATTCATTTTTTTGGGGAATTATGTAATTTGTGCTCTGAGTGGATGAAAACTATCCTGAAACCACTGGCTTAATGAGCAGAAAATGACTTGGATTTCACATCGACTTGCTGCTTGCCCAGCAGTCATTTTATTTGAATAACCGAGATAATTTTACATGCCAGCCCGGCCAGGCAAACACACAGTGACTACCCTTTCTTGAATGATATTCACCAGCTCAATGCACTTCCTGAAGGTCATTCGTTACATTCATCCTTATTCAGCTGCTACTCTGTGCTCATGGTGGCCAGGAATGACATCTCAGATACAAAGAGATTACATAGAGTCCAGGGTGAATGTTCAACTAATAATTTTTGAATTGCCTCTGAAAATCTACTCAACATCTTTCCTCCTCCTGCTCAATCAAAATTCATTGTCTTCTCCCAGCAAATTTGGGATTGCTCAAAAAGCAGAAACTCTTTAATGAACTCTAAAGCCTCCTCATCTCAAAGGTTTTTTGGTCTTTCCAGTTATAACTGAAGCCCCCAAAGAATAAATATACTCTGTGATAATAATGTCCTTGATGTCTAACTCTGTCAGCGTTGCGATTCCTCCGGGATGCCATCCGTGATGGTGCTAAACATTCATGTATGTGGGCCTCTATTTGCAAGTGAGGGGCCCAAGAAGATGGAATAAAAAGGAAATTTAAAAAAATTTTCCCCAATTTATTTATTTTTACCATTCTTTAACTTTTCTTTTAAGTTCAAGTGTACATGTGCAGGTTTGTTGTGTAGGTAAACCCCTTGTCACGGGTGTTCGTTGTACAGATTATTTCACCATCCAGGTACTGAGCAAAGCAAAAAGTAGTTATTTTTTCTGCTCTTCTCCCTCTTCTCACCCTCCACTCTCAAATAGGCCCCAGTGTTTGTCATTTACTTCTTTGTGTTTATGAGCTCTCATCGTTTAGCTTCCACTTATAAGTGAGAACATGAAGTATTTTTCTTCTGGTCCTGCATTAATTTGCTAAGGATAATGGCCTCTAGCTCCATCTATGTTCCCTCAAAAGACATGACCTTGTTCTTTTTTATGGCTGCATAGTATTCCATGGTGTATATGTACCACATTTTCTGTATTCAATCTGTAATTGATGGCACTTAGGTTGATTCCATGTCTCTGGTATTATGGTTTTATTTTGCATTTCCCTGATGATTAGTGATGTTGAACATTTTTTTCATATGTTTATTGGCAGTTTGTATATATTTTTGTCTTTGTACTGATATTTTATTTTATTTTTACTTTTTAAAACTCATTAGTTTAGTTTATTTTTTCCCATGTTATTGTGATACAGATTGTATTTGGTTACATAAATAATTTCTTTATTGGTGATTTGTGACATTTTGGTGCACCCATCACCCAAGCAGTATATACTGCATCATATTTGTAGTATTTTATCCCTCATCCCCCTCTCACACTTCCCCCCAAGTCCCCAAAGCCCATCATATTATTTTTATGCCTTTGTGTCCTCATAGGTTAGCTCCCACATATCATTGAGAACATATGATATTTGTTTTCCATTCCTGAGTTACTTCACTTAAAATAATAGTCTCCAATCTCATCCAGGTTACTGGAAATGCTGATAATCCATTTCTTTTTGTGGTTGCACAGTATTCCATTGTATATATATGTGTGTATGTGTATATATACAATGGAATGTGTGTGTGTGTGTGTATATATATATATGTATATATATATAAACTTTTTAAAAATCCATTCATTGATTGATAGACATTTGTGTTGGCTCCACTATTTTGCTATTGTGAATTGTGCCACTAGAAACATGCATGTACAAGTATTCTTTTTGAATATTAACTTCTTGTCCTCTGGGTAGATACCCAGTAGTGGAATTGCTGGATCAAATTGTAGTTCTACTTTTAGTTCTTTTAAAAATCTCCACGCTGTTTTCCATAGCAGCCATACTAGTTTACATTCCCAACAGCAGCATAGAAGTATTTCCTGATCACCTCCTCCACGCCGAAATCTTTTTTTATTTATTATTTTTAATTATGGCCATTCTTGCAAGAGTGAGGTGGTATTGCATTGTTGTTTTGATTTGCATTTCCCTAATAATTAGTGATGCTGAGCAAGTTTTCATGTGTTTGTTAGCCATTTGTATATCTTCTTTTGAGAATTGTCTATTCATGTCCTTAGCCCGCTTTTTGATGTGATTTTTTTGTTGTTGTTGATTTTTTCGAATTCTTTGTGGATTTTGGATCTTAGTCTTTTGTCAGATGCATAGTTTGTGAATATTTTGTTTCCCACTCTGTGAGTGGTCTGTTTACTCTGCTGATTATTTCTTTTGTTGTACAGAAGATATTTAGTTTATTTAAATAGATCTCATTTATTTATTTTTGTTGCATTTGCTTTTGGGTTCGTAAATGTGAATTCTTTACCTAAGCCAATGTCTAGAAGAGTTTTTTCAATGTTATCTTCTTGAATTCTAATGTCTTCATGTCTTAGATTTAAGTCTTTAATCTACCTTGAGTTGATTTTTGTATAAGATGAGAGATGAGAATCCAGTGTCATTCTTCTACATGTGACTTGTCAGTGTTCCCAGCACCATTTACTGAGTATGGTTTTCTTCCCCCACTGATATGCTTTAGGTCTGTGTTCCCTCCCAAATCTCACATCAAATTGTAATCCCTAATGTTAGAAGAGGGACCTGGTGGGAGTTAATTTGAACATGAGGGTGGATTTTTCCCGTGTATTTCTTATGGTAGTGAGTCAGTCCTCATGAGATCTGGTTGTTTAAAAGTGTAGCACCCCCTGCTTCACTCTCTCTTCCTCCTACTCCAGCCATGTAAGATGTGCCAGCTTGTCCTTCACTTTCCACCGTGCTTGTAAGTTTCCTCCGGCTTCTCCAGCCACACTTCCTGTACAACCCGTGGAATCATGAACCAATTAAACCTCTT